CAATGAGCAAGAGATGTTTAGAAATCAATACTCCCACGACAGTGCGCGAATACAATACCCCAAATTCACAATAACTGTAGTCAGAAGTGCGACAAAACTAAGATTTCTATACAGTCCGGGGTGAAGAACTGCAGCCCGACTGTTTCGTAAAGCGCTCTCTTTTGAAAACGGAAAAAATTCCAGTTTGTCAGCTGTGTTCGGGTTGTCACCCCTGACACCAGTCGGGTTTATAATGAACTCTCAGACAATGTGGTTTATTATTAGCTGTACAACATCTCATAGCCGCCTAACCGCCGGAACGAGACAACGGGTGTCACTGGGTGTAATATGATACAAAGAATGACAAACTGCCGCTGCTCGCAAGCTGCTGTCAGTGTAATTGAATTTTAATTAAAAAAAAAGTAACGCAAGCAAGACATTTAAATGGAAATTCCTGGTGCCTGTAAAACGAAACGCGAGGTCTGACATGGGAGGGGTTTGAACTGAATTCCATTCAGGGTGTGAGTTTTTAACTTATTATTTTTAATGTCGATTAAAAAGAATCTGCGAGTGAAAAATGTCAGTCTGGACCATCCAAAGACTTTAAGATATAGGGCAAGCTGCCATCATTTTTGCAAGAATAGAAGAACTGCACCGTCTAACTTGTTCAAGACATTTTGCTGAGACGTACGACGATTAGAAAGTTGTTAGCCGTTTGCACCTTGCTCGTTGGCATACACCGGCGGGCAGTTTCATGACAGGAGAAACAGAATGGGAGCTTTGTTTCCTGATTAACGCTAGAATAACAAGGACTATTCAGAACAGTCACCTATTAATTTATCTAAGCCGGGAAAACAAAATCAAACATTTAACGCGATACGAACGTCGCTATGATAGATGGGTGAATTAATTCAAAAATAAGCGATATAAGTAAGATCAGTCGCCAGTGCAGAACAAATGCGCTTGTCTGCATATCAATAATAATGATAATTTCAGATACTGTTTTGCGTGGGCGGCGTGCACAGACTAGGGAATTTGAACATGGAATCCGAACATTTGTAGCACCCGATTAGCAGCTCGCCCAGTCTCTGTCCCCGTTTTCGGAAGGGTCTTTTTTCCTTGCTGGGGTTCCTCTGCCCAGTCAGAGACAGCCGGACAGGGAGAGAGAGGCGGACACGGTGCCTGCACCAGCACCAGCAGCAAGCTGAGTGAAGTGTGAGGCGGGTCGGTCTCTCGGCTCAGTTTCAGCTCTGCCACTCCCAGCACGGGCCCCGGGAGCGCGCTGCGCGTCACCCTCGCCTACCAGCCACAAGGAAGGGATACAGCGAGTGAGACAGGGAGTAGGAGTGGGGAAGTGCTGGGATATTGTTTTTTAAATCGACAAGGAAGGAGAAGAGGTTCTTGGAGACTGCCCGTTCTTAAGTTTCGACTAAAACCGAGGCGCCCGGTGCTCGCTATGGAGTAGAAGCCGAAGGCGATGGAAACGCCGTGGAGAAGTTTGCTGGTGTTGCTCGGAGCTGCGCTGGTCGTGACTGCGGGCACACGGGGCAGGGAAGGTGGGTTGACTTTGAAACTTTCATTTCTCTTCAGGGCCACGAGAGACGAGAGAGGGGAGGGAGAGAGGGCAGGAAACGCGAGGGAAAAAAAAAACTCTCGGGGGAGACTTTGTGTCCCCTCGATTCACGTTTTCCCGAGCGTGAAACTTTTCTTGCGCGACTCGAAAATAACTTTCCAACCCCCAGCCGCGTCGCGCCGCGCCGCTCTCTCCCACATTCGGTCCAATTCGTGGGGACTTCCCTGGATGTGTCAGTGCGATTTCAGGCGCGATTTCAGGACGGCTTGGGTGCTGTTTAAAACTCCGCTTTCTCGAAATATGTAAACACTATAACTCGAAGCCAAATACTTAAAGGAGGTGTGTTTGTGTCGGGAAGGGGAGTGTTAGAAAATACTCACGGCTGCCTGAGAACCTGCTTTGCGACTCTGAATGACGACACTCGAGTGGAAACAGAATAATCCTAATAGCGAAGAAGAATACCTTTCTGTAGTAAACAAACCCGTATCCCGTCGCCAGTATAATCTTGGAAACCAGTCCTGACACCTAATAATTACAGCCCCGAACTGCGGCGGAGATGCAGCAGAGAAACGCCAAGTTGTGTATTGACATATAAGCTAATAATAAACTAGCCGAGCTTCAGATTTGTGTGAAGTATCGATTTCAGAAACAATTGTATAAGCCTATTTCGAAATACAGACGTTGAGCAAACTTTGTAGTCAAATAGGCTATTGGCTACGGAATTTGAACTGAAACACTCCACATCTCCCCTCTACAACCCTCTCCAGCGATGCAGCACTCTTGTTGTGCTTGGGCACAGTCAAAACAAACTTATTCGCTGCTGATATCTGGTTCCAGGTTGTGCACAAGGCGGTGGTGATGTATGTCATATTCTTCAAGTGAGTCTGTAAGGTGGCATTTCCTGTTATCCGTGAAATAATAATAATAAACTTTATTTTATATAGCGCCTTTAAAGGTGGCTTCTCAAAGCGCTTTACAGGATGACAATAACAATAAATAAGAAGACTACAACAATAATTAAGAAGATTTCACAAGATAGGACACAATTATAATTACAACAATACAACAATAACAATAGAGGAGACCGTGGAAGGTGGTACTAAGAAGAGCAGAGGGGTGAAGAATGGAACCAGTTAAGTAAAGGCTTTTCTGAAGAAGAAGGTTTTGAGTCTAGATTTGAAGGAGTTTAGAGAAGGTGACTCTCTAATATCCTTGGGCAAAGAGTTCCAGAGCTTTGCCCAAGGATGCAGTTGTTGAAATGCAGTTGTTTTCTTACTGACCGGGCACTATATGTGTCGGCTTTATTTTCCATCCCAAAATATTAAGCCTACTTTTATGGCAAAAAGTCTTTCCATGGAGTTGAGTGTTTTGAAACCTTTCCTTTGTAGAGACGGTTTCCACCATCTTTCCCTGTGGAGGCCTGTTCTGCCACCCTGAGCTCAGGCACTGCGTGAGCCTTTTTAACACCCTGGCTGTTGGAAACGCTGTAGTTTTGAAATCTCGTGCCCAGTTCTGGGTCGCACACTTCCCACTGGTTTTTCCCAGAGTCTCTCCTCCATGGAGATGCAGTCCCATTGGCACTTCCAGTTGCCAGTTGTTTTTTTTTTCTAAACAGCCGAATCATTTTTTTTCTATTTTTCCGTTTTTGCAACAGCCGACTTGTTCCTGTGGATAGAGTAATTTCAAGTTCCGCAAACCCAAACCCTTTTTCCCACAATCTTTAAAAATAGGTTTTAGAGCCTGAGAGTCTGTCGGCAGGATTCCGACGGGTTAGTTATGGGATGCAAAGATTCCCGCTGTCGTTCCCAATGCCTGAAGGAAAGCAGGGAAGGATCTAAACGGATTCTGGGCATAATGATTCCAGATGGGCTTCTCAGCACTGCGCAAGGGCGATTGTCTTCCCCTAAGCATTTTTCAGAGCTCCTTCTGGACGCTGAGGATGTTTTCAGCAGCCCTTTCCAGCTTCTCCTCTGAAGCTAAGAAGACTGACCCTCAGCTTCATGGAAGAAGACATCCTCTTAAAATTAGCAAGTGGTCATTTTTCAGCACAGAAGATGGTTATAATCTCTTTTTTTTATGTGGCAATATCTTTTGCCAACTGGACTGTGATTTTAGCCTGCATTTGGCCAGTCCAGCATTGTACCAGACGAATTGGTTTCCCTCTGTTTTTCCAGCTTAAACTCTTCTGGTCTTTCCAGACGTAGGCTTCTATGTCCTGTACATGCCAAAAAACCTGGTGCTGGATATTTGCCAGGGTTGTCTTTTAATAATGGTTAAGTGGGTCTCAGAGCTGTAGATAAAAATATGATAGATGTTGTTTTCAGTCATGGGTATTTTTTTCTACAAAATCCTTCACCTAATAAATCCTCAAATGGATCAAAACAGATTTGCTTGGCTTGCAGTAAAGACGCGCACTGCCCTAGCTCTTGTGGATTCTCATTGGCAGACACAGTTTGTCACAACATTTGCACATTTACGCCACCAGCCACCTTTTTGAGTGACTTAGCCTTGGCAGTTTGGTTACAGTGTAACGCCAGTAAAAAGGGACATGTTAACCGTCTCCTGTCCAGCAATAGGTAACCTATTGTTATTTATGCGTAGTGCTGCCTCTAAAGGAACTGAAATACCATTGCTTAAGCTTCCTTGTTTCCTTGTTTTCCTTCATGCGCTGTCTTTATTTTGCAGAGCATTGTTTCCTGGTGGGCCGTTTTTGTCTTGATAATAAATACGCACCCTGTAGGATTAGGGCTCTTTGACTAGAACAAAGCCATTTGAGCACATGACTCCCATTGTTGTGTTTCTGCACTGGCTCCCTGTAGAACTTAGAGTTATATTTAAAATACTGTTACATATGTTTTAAATGGTCCAGCTCCGGAGGGGGGGGGGTTCTGCACTTGTGGTCCTGGAGAGCCATACTGTATTCCTTTCCATTCCAGCTGAGATTTAAATGACTTAATTGGATCAACCAGTTCCTTAATTAAGAGGTTTGAACATGTTTTTGAGACGTCTGCTCACTGATGATTAAAGGTTACAAGTAAAACCTGCAGGACTGTGGCTCTCCAGGAGCAGGGTTACAGACCCCTGGTCTGCCATCTGCTTACCTCAGTCAACTGCTTGCATGCCACAGTCCCTTTCTCTGGACAGCATTGTAAACCAGCTTCAAAGAAGTGGAAGAGTCTGTATTCTGCTGTTATGTACCACTTTACCTATAGAAGGAATAGTGACTCCGTCAGAGCTTTTAAATCTAACTTTTAACTATAATTCCTTTTTTTTCCTGATGTATGTTTTGTAGTGTTATATCTTTTGTAAATGCTCTGCAGATCCCTGAACTGCATTGTTGTGAAAGGCCATTTGCAAAATAATAAGTAGTGTCACTTCTGCAGTGGTACTTGGTCAGACCAGAGCATAAGTGAAAGAATCAGTATTCCTGCGGTGTCTTTGCTGATTGTGAGTGGATATTTACTTATTGCTTTATTACATTTTGACTCCAAGGAGGTATAGACTGACAAGAGCAGGCTCTGTGCTTCCAGAAAGCAAGACAAAACTGTTTTCATTTTTCTTATTCATGCTACGTAGGCTATGCAGTTGGGTCACATGAAATAAACGAAAGCCTTGAACTAGCAAAGATATAGGTGTAACGCCCAGGAAAGTTATCTAATTCCGATTGTCAAAGGAAGGTTGCACTCTGTTATTACATACTGCTGAAAATATGCTGTGATTCATGCAGCGTTTGTGAAGGAAGGAAAGGACGGGACACTTTTTTTTTTAATGGGTTCTGTCCAATTTTGAGTGCTGCCAGATGAAAACACACTAGAGTAGATTGTTACATTATTAGGTGTAAAACTGAAATACCTACATGCGCTCAGTGGCCAGGGTGCATCACATTTCAAGTGGAAGCAGTGGCAGAGAGTGCTGTTGAACCCTCTCAGCGGGTCATGTGCCAAGTACCAAAGGAACAAAAGAGACAATACCGTCAGCCTTTTGTTTAGGTGGATTTCTTGGGCACACTGGTGTGTGCATGGTTTCTGCTTTGTAGTTCAGATCCAAGTTCTTTGCTGTGCAGGTTTCACTTTTAACTTTCTCCCAAGGCTTACATTGAGTATCCAGCCCCTTACAGACTCCTGCCTGTTACTCCGATAAGAGGCTCTGCAGAAGTGTCTCGTAACATGCTTGTGTTGGTCCCTCCTCCCATGCCCCAGACTCAGTACACATGAAACTGTGCAAATAACCTTGGAACTCTGCTCTGCTCCTCCCCTTCCTCCTCTGTATTTTGTGGCCTTTAGATTTTGCATCAAAGCCAATTGTCCAAAGTCTGCAACTGAAAGAGACTGAGAGTTTGCGAGTGTTTCTGAATAGAAACCAGCGCTGTGCAAGGGCTGAAGTCTCCTGTTTTCTGGCTGTGTTCTGATTATTACTCAGCTGTTGACACGTCTGCCACTAGTGAGCACTGACGAAGTTTGTGTGATTGATAAACTCAGGTCTGCTGACTGCATTTACAAACTCCCACCCAGGGCAGTATGTCAGTGCTGCTAAACAGTCGTCTCTGGTCCATCAAACAGCTTTTTTGATTTTCTTGTACAAATCCCTTACCAAAAGCTTGGTGAATTACTTCTAGAAGATATTATTTGTGGCACAGTTAAAAACACAATATGCATTAATGCGTGGATCTGTGGATAACAGTGCAATACTAGTGTATAACTGAAATAAATGAATGGATAAAATTATGCCTGTTTAAGCAGACCGCAGTAATTGTTTAATAGATTATTTCTTCACTGTCTACAGAGTAATTGAGTCAAACTAGAAGGGAGTGGGGGATCTGAGGAATTAAACTCCTGTTTTAAAAGCTTAGCACAAACAGAACAGTGAAGAGTCTTGACTTTTGTTAACGATCAAATAAGGGTACAAAATCTCTGTGGTATTGAACAGAGGATGTTGAGAGGCTGTGACTCAAGTATTTTAAAACCTTGAAAGATCAGAGACAAAGTCTGTGTGGCCAAAAGTAGACACCAGGAGAGAGTGCATTTAAGTTTGATGTCAGGAATAATTTTTACATGAAGATTTGTGATAATCTGGAGTAAAGAAAACTGGATGAATGAAGTTCTTGGATTAATAATTTAGTGGCAACCAAATGAGCAAATAGGACGACTTGGCCTTCTTGTCTGTTAACGTCAAGGTCTAATGCAAAATCCGTGCATTGCCTCTGCCTCTACATTTCCCTGCCATACAAAACAAGTGTACTGGCACAAAGAAAACGCCAAAGCCACAGGTCAAATGAGACAAACACAGCAGCATGTAGAGGATTGCCCTCTCACATAAGGCAGAGCCTGACACAGATGATTATGCAGGAAGGAGGTATTTATGTCATAGTACTATGGTGCAATGTGGCAGAGCCCCGCTGTGTTTGAAGAGTGCTTATGTTAATAAAGCAAGCTCTGTGCAGCAGCCGGCTCAGAGCTCGTAGCTAAGCACATGGATCGAGCTGCAGTGAGACAGGAAGGGAGGTCACGTGAATGGGAGGCGAACTCTTGAGAGTCTCACTCGCGATCGGGAGGCTGCAGGCTAGCACAGTCTGAGCGAGGTCTGGCAGGGGCCCCAGTTCCTGTGTTGTAATTGCAGTGTGGAGAGGAGCGCGTGGCGGCGCAGGGCAACCCGGGGTTTGCGGAGGAGCGGCGAAGTCATTCTCACTTTGGGCTAAAAGGAGGCGAGGTAAAGCAGGAAGTGAGCTGGAGAGCCGGAGCTGAGATTTATTCCTTCTTTTCATAAAGGCAAAGATATACCACAAAATAGAGGCCCCACATGCTACGTGCATTTGTGACACTTTTAAAGTAGACACGCATAAACACAAGATATACACAAACACACACTTGCATAGGTGGGCAAAAGGCACAGGTGAAGTTTGATTTGCAGATAAGCATGAGACGTGCACACCCTGTCCTGCATGTGCATGTGCAGAGAAATTGTGCACGCACATGGCCCAGTAGTAAGATGAATACAAAAAGGCCCAAATGAACTCGTGTACATATATACACACACTGCATGCACTTTCACCCAACAAGCACGCAGCTAACATTTCAAAGGTCAACAGTCAGAGTTTCCGGCCAACTGTGGCAAGTTCTTATCACTTGGGATTGTGCTCCTCCTCCTTCTGACACAAAGACACATGTGCACCTCTGCAGGACCTTTGTGTAAAAAAAGTACCTGCTTGTACTCTGTTTCAAATACATTTCCTCATAGTTTTCACTTGTGATCTATGGGTCGTGTTTCAATTGCCGATTTTGAATTTCAGCAAGGGTTGACGTGTCACTGCCTCTGAGGAGTCTGAATACTTGAGTTAGGTTCTTATCAGCTTCCCTGCTTCGAGACTGCAAAGATACAGCTCTTTTAGTCCATCGGAGCTGGAAAGATGAACTCAACCTGAAACTGAAGTCTTAAACAGAAGAATACAAAGGGATCCAGATTCTCGCGCTCGGAATCCTCCACATGATTGAGTGAGTGTGTGTGTGTGTGAACGCAAGGCTGCAGCAGGACTTCTTGCGTAGTTCCAGTGCGGCCAGTCCATCAGGTTGAGCGTGTTGTGGCAAACGAGAAGACGGAGGGGGGGGGAGGAGGAGGAGGAGGAGGAGGAGGGATCTGAGCTGAAACTGAGGAATGTAAGCAACAAGAGCAGGAGCAGGAATCTGGCGCGTCAATCACTGCTAGAGAGACTCCGTTTCCTTGCTGGCTCAGAGTCGTGGACAGGTGTAAATGTGTTTACCTGCTATTTCCTGGTGACCAGCTTCTTGTTTTACGTATTCCAATGAGTGCGCTTCCTGTGACTCTCCATTTTCACTTCTGCTTAAGCCAAGTGTTCCAAACTAGCTTTACGGATGGAAGAAGCGTTGGGATACCCAGAAATAGTCCTAGGAGACGGGCATGGCAGAAGACACCGTACTGTTTCTCCTAAGATCTCAGCAGTGATTAAAACAAGCGCCTGCTCTCTATAGACCTGTACTGATAGTACTATTCATTTATTTTATTGTTTTTCTCCACAAAACTACAAAAACAAATCCCCCATCCCCCTTAGACTTTCACTGTTTTATAATGGCTCCTCGTGTTGCTTATCATGTTGCTTATCACGATGGTAGGTTTCAGTTTGATTGTATGTTTTACTTAGTGAGAGGCGTGTCTTGAAAAAGGGTTCTGCAGCCGGAAATGTCATAGATAATATAATTAGTGAATTATCTTGTGAATCTATAAATATTGACTTCTAAATCTTAGAAATGGCATGGCATCTCCTTCTGTCAAGTGAAGTCCCCACAGCCTGAACAAGGTTAAAGTAAAATATTCGAACAGCTTAAGGGGCCGTAAGGAGAGGAGGGGGACTCCTACTATTACGACGTCTGTAAACCAAAGCTAAAACTAGTCAGGAAAGAGATTTGAAGAGGCTGAACCTTAATTCCTGGCCCTAACAGTGCGAGGGATGGGGTGGGTCCCTGGGGTTGCTGCGGAAACACTTTGGCACTTTGATCCAGCAGGCCTTCTGTGGGTGGTTGCTAGGAGACAGCGGGGAGCAATGGTGTCCCTGGGCCTCTGAGCCATGGGCACTCTATTGGAGTGGCGAGAGGCAGCAGGGGATTAAACAGGCCGCGCTGTGTCCGCATGTCAGTGAGCACCATTGTCACGCACTGACGCAGGCAGCACAGCTCTAGTGACTCCTGTCATGGCGATGCCCTGCTATCCTGCCTGTTCCAGTGCCATTATTCTTGCTCCTACTGTCCAAAATATCAGAAAGGCCTAGTTAACTCTTTCAGCGTTTAGTAATGCCTAGATTGGCTAGATGCCCTGGTCAGAACAATCCCTAGATCTCAATCCTTTTGAGAACCAGTGATACCACTACTGCTCATCACTGCCTTACTTGAAGCTCATCTGCTAGAACGCTGGGATGAGATTGGAGTGTAAGCATTTCAAAGCCCATTCCCAAGCATTTCCTTTGAGGAGCACATGGCCCGTGTCATCTTCAATTTGCCCTTCTCACAGAAAGCCTGTTTTTGGGACTGAAGGTTCCTAATGGTTTCGCAAGTGAGTATGATATTTTTTGATAAAATTAGGGTAGGTTATGTCCCGCTGCATTACTCCCATTTCAGATGTATCAGCTGCTACTGATGATCTGATGATTAGCAAGATGAAACCTCAGGTTGACCAACCCTGTTCCCAGTGCCTGGTGCACACGCAGTGTTTCTGACTGTACTAATCCTATTCTCAGTCCCCAGCCTGTCCCGTCCCGTTCTGCGTCCATCCCTAATCCCAACTGTCCTAGAACCTCAGCCTCCAGCCCAACTCAAACCCCATCCCCACCTCTGGACATGACTGCCACACGTATCCTAATGCTTGACTCCATGATTGCCTACTAAGAGCCTTCAAATCTTTTTTTCTTGTTAAATTAGTTTAGTTGAGGTCTGCCAGACAGCTCCCTAGTAGTGTGAAAGCCCATTTTTTTTACAATATAATGAGCATTTAGATTTTTTTTCTGTAGCACACGTTTCTCCGTGTTCACATTGTTTCACATTGTACATGTGAAGGCATTTAGTAAAAGTAAATGTAAAGGTGGATTCAGAGAGAGTACAGGAATGAAAACGGGAAGCAAGCTTTTCATTTGAACACGTCTCAGGAGAATTGTCGTTTGGATATTATTGGCGTTCGGAGAAGTGGAATTTGCATTGGGCCAGTAAAACTTTGAAAATCACCCAGCAAAATCAGACAATGTCAGTGGGAGCAAAGAAAAACCGGAATTTAAATCAATTCCCCCCACATTTTACTGCCCTCTCCGCCAATATTTCATAACACTCTTCTTCACACACAGAACAAAACTCCGCAGAAAGGAAGTGGCCAGGAAGTATGAGTGTCATTTCAGACTGTGTGGGCTCAGGTCACAGGAAGTTCACAGGAAGCCACCAGGAAATAATTATAGCCCTTATTGGCCTGTCAGCATGTTGTAACTTGGTAATACTCCCAGAGATATTCAACACTGTACTTCCTGAGAAAATCACTGCTCATTTTCCGAAGGGCTAAAAGGAGGGGGGATGTCAGTTTCTCTCTCTCTGTCCTTCTCTCAATCCTTCAGTCCCAGTCTCTCTTAAATTGGCTTTCTCTTCTGCTCCATAACAAATCTCTCACATTTCTCCTGTTCTCTAACCCCTCTTTCTCATCACTATGTTGGTGCCCACCCTCACCACCTGCGGACGTTCCATCAAGAAGTCCAGGATCCAATTCCAGAGGGAGGTGTTCAGTCCCAGGTCCTGGAGCTTGATGACGAGCTTTGAGGGCACTGTGGTATTGAATGCTGAGCTGTAATCAACAAACAGCATTCTCACATAAGTTCCTTTCTTATCCAGGTGTGAGAGGACAGTATGGAGGGCAGTAGCAATAGCATCCTCTGTTGACCTGTTCGGGTGATACAGAAAAGCCTGCTGGTGTGTCAGTACTTCATATTAACAATATAAAGTCTTCTTCTTTTCTGCTCTCTCCTCCCAGTGTGCACCGGGACAGATATGAAGCTGGCTCTGCCTTCCAGCAAAGAGAATCACTACCAGATGCTGCGGATGCTATACACAGGCTGCCAGGTGGTGCAGGGCAACCTGGAGATCACCCACCTGCAGGGGGCGCAGGACCTCAGCTTCCTCCAGGTGAGTGCAGTTGCAGAGTTGTGGGAATATTAGGAAATAGTATTTGCATCTTGCATTACTGCATTGCTGCTATATAGAGTTTTGTCCACTGCAATGACCTTTAAATCAAAAGTACATATATGAATGACAATTATTTAATTTTTAGTATGTAGGCATTATGCATATATACGTTCAGGTGGGTAGCTGCGTCAGCATGGGTAGGCTGCAAAGGAACAAGTAATAGGTTTATTCCATGCTGAAAAGAGAAGAAAGAAAACGCAACGTTTCGGCTTCTTCAACCTATTACTTGTTCTTATGCATATATACTCTAGGTCCCTGTTGAAAGTAGTTTCCGTGGCCAGAAAAAACTGTGAACCTTATTACTTGTTAGCTGTTACTTTGACAGTTCTGTGGCCAACCCAGACTCCCTTCAAACTTCACAAAAAGCTCATGTGCAGAAACTGAGCCGGGTCACAAGAGCTTGGTCAAGAGCTTCAGCGATTTGACTTCTTTTAACACAATCCACTGCCTTCATCAATGTGTTGGTTTCTGTCTCGGCTTGTGTCTCTGAAGGGCATTGTGGAGGTGCAGGGCTATGTCTTGATTGCCCACACCACCGTGGAGTCCATCCCCCTGGAGAACCTGCGTATCATCCGGGGCTCCCAGCTCTACAATAGCACCCTGGCCCTGGCCGTGCTGGACAACTCGGTGTCCCAGGAGGCTGGGCCAGGGCTCCGGCAGCTCAGACTGAGGAGCCTGACAGGTGAGAGGGAGGAGGGGGGAGGGGGAGGAGCAGGGAGGGAGGGAGGGAGAAGAAGGACAGGGAGGAGGGAGAGGCTGGGAACGGGGATCGGTCTGTATCTCCATGCAGCTAACTTTTCTTGCTCTGTCCCACAGAGATCCTGCTGGGGGGGGTGCGGATTGCGGGTAGCCTCCAGCTCTGCTTCCCCAACAGCATCCGTTGGACAGACATCCTGGATCAACAGAACAAATTAAGGCAGATTCTGGATATACAGGAGCGGCCTGCCAACTGTGAGTGTGAGAGTGCAGTACACGGACTGTAATACTGAGCACAGAGACAGGACTGCAGTACAC